GTTCCTGGTCAAATGTCATAAATTTTCCAGTTGATGAGGGTTAGCAAAATCATGGTTTATAGACTAATAGCACACAGTTATAGCAGGTTCCTAACCAAATTTTTAAGCTCTCTTTTTTTGACGCGTTGCAAATGACCCAAACATATTCTATTTGTGGTAAATTTATTGTAAAAAAAACAAGGGCGAAACATTACAGAATTCACCAAAAAAGTGTATTACACATATTTTTGAATAAAACTTGGGACAAATCATGGGCTCTGCACGAAGTTTGCACTGTTTATGTCAAAGAGTTGAGACAATGGACTAAAATTAAAAAAACGTATTTGCCTTTCGGAATTCCAATGGTCTTACGTGAGCCTAGTAACCACGGAGATGACCGCTGTTTTTGTTCATGTAATGTACAAGGCTACAACACTCGAAATAAACTCTTATCCAAACCTTCAGTTTGCTATAAGACCTGTTGCTCATGAACCTGATGTACCTTTACTTACTCCACCAGTAAGACTCTTGATACAGTTTAATCTGATTCTGAATCTAATGTCAATAGAAATGATGATAGGGATTGTTTTAAACCTGAAATATCTGTGGTCTTAATGATTTGGTGAGATATTTGGGTTTTGCAAAGAATTCTTCAGAGATTTTGGAGTCCAAACTTCAGGCTAAGAACTTATTTTCTCCACGGACATCATTTTGCTGGTACAGAAATCATGAGAAAGAGTTTATACCAAACTTTTTGCATGAAGGTTCACTGGCTTATTGAAACAATATTACTGAATTAATACCAATGCTAGGAGCTGCAGTCTGTGAACCAAATGAGCGGCGATTGTTCTTTGATTCCTCCAAAAGAAGTCTATAAGGTCTATAAAGTCTACCTTCACAATGGTAACATATATGCATCTATTCCTATTGCTCATTTTGTGCACTTGAAGGAAACGTACGAAAATCTCAAACTTCTTCTTAATTATAGGTCAAATACAAAGAACATGGTTGGCGACTTTGTGGAGACTTAAAAGTCCTTTGTGTGTTGTTGGGTCAACAATCCATTTATACAAAGTTCCATGTTTTTTGTGTGAATTGGACAGTAGAGCCTGAAATCAGCACTAGATAAAGAAGCAATGACCATGCAGAGTCAGCCTGATACCAGGATAGAAAA